ACTTTAATAAACTGGAAAATCGTGTCTATACTGCATTTAATTTTTATACAGAGGTACATGTCTGTAATGGACGACAGAAATTTCCACTCTCAGTCCTACCATTATTCAGTCCTAGCGTATCTTAACCGAGAAAATCAATAAGTCGCAAACGCGTATTCTTTAAAGTATGAAGATGGCGATTAGCATCGTTTCTAGAAAAGTCTGACTAGACAGAATTCTGATAACAAATTTAAAATTGGATGATTTTTTGTAGAAATACCTGCTATGCTTTCTGACTATTTCTGAGCAGAGATGGGCGAGTCCGGTCATCTCCGAGTCCAAATCCAATCCAGGTTCAGGTCTGTTCTGGTTCCAGACGCGGCTGCCGCTTTATATTACATTGAAAAAATGGTCATCTGTTTTAACATCTACTTTGAATGCATCTTGGATGTATTTTCGACAGTCAACAAAAATTAAACATAACTTGTAAAGCTAACGCAGTTAAGTAGAGCAGAACAATTATTTCTGATCAAAATAAAATAAACCCAATGGAAAAATCTTTTGTTTTGATGGAGTCATGGGACTTTTACTGAAAGCACTAACATACGCAGAATTTAAAAAATTAATAAAAAATTGCGTGACAACCGACAGAAAAATTATTATTTCGCCGTGGGTTTTGATGTGAAAAAATTTGAAGTATAGTTAAAAGATAGACTGAAATCAGGGTACAAAATGGTTAATTCAATTTTTCTTATTTTCAAAACGTTAACACAAGAAATGGTTTTTGAGTTTAGAAAATTTTCATTTTTTTCGCCCTTCGTATAATTTGCTTAGTTATCATGATTGATGTTTCGAAATTAAAGTTTAGGTATATCTTTGTAAAGAGTTTCGCGGCGCTTCTATTAAAAATAGAATTTGCTGTAGAGGACCTAAGGAAGAGGAATTAGAGCAAAAATACCGACATTGACGTTATAGGTATGGTACACCCTTTGAACCCTGGTCTTTTAAAAACCGTATTAGTTGACAACAATAAAACGAAATACATACGTACATGAAACAAGGACGCATACGAGCGGAATATTTCAGAAAAAGTTTACACTAGATGCAAAATATGTTGAGAATGTTTGAAATTTTTTGGGAAAAAGAATCAATATCTTTGAAAAGAAAATGCGAAAACAACGTTCGTTAGAAAGACTTTTGTTTTGTTTATTTTTTCGATAAAGTGTGCAATATATTCGATATTTGCAGACGAAAAATCAATTAGACTATATTGTGGTTTATTCGTGTTCATACTCTTAAATGCGCGTACAAAACTCATCTGTTAACTCCCAATTCTTATTTTGGATTATTCTTTTGTAATTATCCAAAGTAAATACATTGCTTTTTGGCATAGCTTCCGTTTGGTTTTTTTACAGGGGGAAGGAGGGATTTCTAAGGAGAAAGTCTCTTAGAGCCAAGGAGAAAGCCATTTTCGCACGCATAGTGGAAATATCTTTTTACATAGTAAAGATGTAAGAAAGAAGAACAAAATTCAAACACTTCAATCGCTTTCAAAAGGAGAAACATATAGTTTGAAGCAGTAACATAAGGCTAAACTCAAGTTATTCTCTTCGGATTTTTAGTAGAACATACACTTTTCGTCTTTGGATTTTCAGATGAATGACCGCTCTTTATCCTTTTTCTTTTCATACAAGCGTTGATAAGAATGTTGATCTTGTCCTCCACAGCACTATTTCCTCTAATATCTCGGCATCTCACATTGTTTTTCAGATTAACAAAAGTTTACTATAGATACTTTAAAAATGTCGAGGGAGAAGGAGAAAACTGATTATTTATCGTTTCAGATGAATATTCATCTCACCCTTTTACTTTCTCTGGTTTTTGTATTTGTCAATCATTCTGGTAAGCTAGAAATAGTATATATAAATCTCGATACGGTACACTACTTTTTTCTTCTTATTGTTTAGATTGTTTAGCTCAATGTTTATATCCACAACAAATAATAGGTGAATATTATTCAACAGAAAGTGGTTTCGAAACATTTACAACATTTATTGACAATGGTGATTTGGAACGGAAAATGTATCGTCGAGAGTCGGGCGCTGGTGCATCAAAAAAATCAGGTCCAATATTAGAAAGTTATGATTTAGGTGAATGTCATCACATTAATTATAAATCATCACCTACACAACATCCATCAAAAGCATATTATCAATTAATCTATAAAGACAAGTATGCGTATACACAACTTTAGTTAACAGCAATTAATTACACATTCATATTCTTGTTTTCTAGAAAAAAGTCTTGTTATCAATGTTATCAACTCTTTAATCGTACAAGAAATATTTTACAAATAAGAAAAAGTATGTCATGTTTTAATTTTAAAGTTGTCGAAGGCAATTATTTAATCTAAATTATGTTTTTATAGGTTCGTGTGATGAAATAACATCGTTACTAACAAATCAAATGAATTTTGATGATTTATGTAGAAATATTAATGATCAAGCAGAATTTACAACATTATTTTGTAAGTTAAAAATATTTGTGCTTTGTGAAAATGACCGAACAGTTTATAAAATAGTAGTAATAGAGTACAAACGATGTGAACAATAGAATTAATTGATCAGATAAGGTTTGATTCTGCACATCACTGATATTTTCTTTTTCCTTTTAGTGCGTAAATATGTGGCTGACGAATGTCGCCAAACTATCTATGGTACCTATCATTTTACATATGAATTTCGTGAAGGTGGTATTGGTATTTGTGATCATGTTCAGTCTCGTCTTACATCTTGTCCAGATCCTGGCACACCGTTTGAAGCGGTTAATGAACGGTTTTGGATGACATACGGCTACTGTAAACATATCACAAGTTCCTTTGATGCTAATCAATTGTTTCAATGTTTGGGAAGTTGGACAACAGAAGATGGCAATATATTTACGGCTATAGCTAATGAAAGAGTTGGATCAGAAACATTGTACAATAAATTTCGTTGTATGTTGACAAGACAAGATCAACCACAATGGTTTGTTAAATCACAATTTGCTGAATGTTCACGTTTGTACAGCCCTACGGATGGTCCGGAAAAAATTATTATTACACCAACAGTACCAGAAGAAGCTACACCAAAATGTTTTTTTCCGGGAAACTTTACGGGTGAATGGATTAATACAGCGAATATAAATTCACGAGTAATTATTAATTCAACACATATTCATGAAATAGCTAAAGTAAATAATCGTGGTTGGTTAAAAGAAACTTATTATGTTTGTCAACAGACGAGTCGTAGTCAATTTTTGGTTAAAGCTGTTACAAAAGGAGAATGTTTCTCCTATTATATTTGTTTTGATTTCAAAGATCGCCATCATAACATATTAAGATATCGAAAGAGTAAATCATTTATGACCGATATTTATCGTGAATTTTCAAAACGTGATCCATTCTTCGAAGTATGTGCATGGACAAGTTTTGGAAATGATGCTAATTGGAAATATCAAGTGTTTGTACTCGATCCACCAGCACCTATCGAGTGTCCATTTACAGGTATGTCATTCATTCTTTTTTCTTTAATTGAAAGATACTTAGAGTTTATCTTACAGGCATGTGGACATTTAAACAGATTGGCCAAGAAAATAGTTTGATTAAAACTCGTATTCGAGGTGGCATAACTCCTCGTCCTCGTGATCATGGCTGGTACATTACATGTGATCCAAAATTCATGGTATCTCAGTGGACCGTTTGTGGTGATCAAACGAAGAGTATGTTTGTTGATCGTGAATATTGTCGACAATTAGATCCTTATGGAACACCAATTGGTGTATATGAAATGCCCGACTATATCTATCAATGTGCTGGTTATTGGCGTGAAGATAGTCGTTCAATTTTGATCACTTATGATCGTGATGATCCTTATATCAATTATAAATGTTGGGTTTATGAACGAATAAATTTAGATGAACTGACATTGTCTCGTTCAAGTGGATCAGCCTGTGGAGCCAAACAAACATCAACAAGTTATCGACCAGAAGATGGAGCTGATTTAAATATTCTATTGAAAGAATCAGAAAGAATACGTAAGTGAAAGACAGTCGATATTCTTCATTAAAGACAAACTTATATTTTTACTTTGTTTAGATGATGATTGTCCAATTCGTTATGACGATGGTCGTAATATATTTTTAGATTTAGAAGAGTTTAATTTTTATTATGCGGCTGGTCCTCAAACATTTAAGTTATCGTCATTTGTGTTAACATTTTCATCGTTAATATTTTTAGCATTTTTGTAAATATTTCTGTATATTTAAGCTAGACTCTTAAAACATACGCCATTCTTTTGTTTTGATACATTTAAATATTTCTTTTGCGCAATATTTCAGATACAAGTTTTTTGCTTTTTAGACGCAATTTCTTTTTTGTAGACTTCTTTTCAGCACATTCCATTTAAACAGGTCTGATATTTACATTTTTGTACATGTTTTTTTGTTATACTACACGTAGTGTAGAGTGTTATTTTATACAAAACGTTTTTCAATTTTTAATAAATAATTAGGATAATTAATCGCTTTGTTTCCATTCTTTGCTTATAAAAATAATCAAATTGTATCCATACTGTTTAAGTCAAGACATTTAGTAGTTGACATTAGTATCACACAGAAGAAAAGAAATGAAATAAAACATAAGTTTGATTTTTTGCTTGTACTAAATAAAATTGTTTTCATAATCGCTTCTCAGTTACGGAAAAGCTAAAGCCTTACATTCTATGTATCACCGCTTAAATTCCTCCCTCTGTAGCTAACAGTGGGCAAAAAATGAAAGTGTATATTTTTGATTTCAAATAGTGGGAAATAATCTTCACATGATGGTCGATTTTTTCGTAACAAAAGTTTTTTTGCTCAGCATTATAGTACTGAGAAAACTTACATACAAAAAGTGGGCCGGAAATCGCCATATCTATTAACACTTTCACCGTCATATACGTCGTATTCACGAATGTTTGTCGCCGTTGCTAAATACGTCGTTCGACGTATTCATATTGAAAGCGAGACAGGGTACATATGCAAAAAAATGCCTGGCGCTGAGGATAAATCCCTAATACTTTTCTACGGCTGTGAAAGTGTTAATATTACAGTTTATCTCTGAGTTAAATGTTTGTTTGGCTCAAGAGAGAATTTGTGCGTAAATTATGGGTCATTTTCGAGCATTTGAAAAAAACTTCAGACAAGCGAGAAAATGGATGTTTTCCATACTAACAAAACTTCCCGAAAACGTACCTTCAGTGTAGTACGTTTCCATCCTTTCGCCAGAGCTCAAACTTTCCACAGATCTTCTCTTACTGATAGTACATTTACGGTTTTAGCGTAAAAGCGCACAAATGCTTCCAGGCTTTTGGAGTAGTTTTTGACATAAGATCCATTTTTCTTAGCTAAAAATATGTTCCTAATCTGAGCAAATGACATATTTGGAATCAAACTACATTGAACCATGCATAAGACAAGAAGTTTTGAATTAAAAATATCGCAATCAAGTTTTTCACTCAGGTCTCATACAGAAATTTTTGAAAAAAATTAATTGCTTTTGAAAACGCTTATTTTTCGTTTATAAGATTTTGGATGCCTCCGGAATGATAATCATTCCTAAAAAGAGGTTTATTCGTAAGAAAATTTTGATGTTCGCATCACAAGCCAAAATTGTCCACTGTAACTCTTCATCCAAAGCGATTCAACAAATGATTGAGTTTACTGTTTTCTTTTTACCGGCAACAAAATAAAAGGTAGCCGAAATAAATACATTTTTTTTTTCTTATCATAGTTATATTTTGTCTGAACCCGTAAGTTACCGTCTTCCACTTTTATTAAGAGAAAATAGTTATCTATTCAGTTGAGTTTAATTCGTATTAGAAAGATGATTTGTAGCAAAATACTATTTTCCCACGAATGCGTAAAATAATATCTGTGGATTAAATGTTTAGATTTTTACATGACGTATATTTGTCAGTTAAAAGATTTGTATAGAAATTAATCGAGACAAATTTTAACTTCGATTTTTCAAATTAAAATAATGTATTGAGCCTTGACCTGAATCAGATGCACTGTTAATTTCCTTTTCTATGACAGAACAAGAAAGAAAAAAGTTACCGTATAGTTCACATTCACATGCAGACGTAGAGAAATCAAAGAAATTGAAAAAGTCGCTTATGTTCTTTTTTACATCTATTTCAAAACGGTAAAATATGGAGAAAATAATTCAAAAATCGTTTTTTTTAGATTTTTCTCTGAACTTCAATGATCTATCCTATTTTTACACTTGTTTATTTCTCAATACAAATTATAAAACAATCAGGTATGTAGAACAACTACATTTGACTTGAAAGATACTAATTATCATTTTTTATGTTTGTTACTGTTAGATAGTCAATGTATATTTGATCGTCCAGTATTGGGTGAATATTATTCGTATGAAAATGGTTTAGAAACACATAGTTCATTTAAAGAGAATGGTGATATTGAGCGAAGATTTTTTCGTCGACAATCGGGACTTGGCGCACAAGCCAGTATTATCACCGTTTTGGATAGTGCCGCATTTGGAGGTTGTTTTCAAATTAATTATATATCAAATCCATTTCAACACGTATCAAAATGGCATTATGAACTCATGTATCGAGACAAGTATGTTACACTACATTTCTTCTGAAAAATTAGTACATCGACTTCTTTGTTTTTAGAGAAAAATCCTGTTATCAATGTTTTGAAATTTATAATCGTACACGAAATATTTTACAAATTAGAAAAAGTATGTATTGATGGATACTGAAGTCTCTTCATTTCTATGCTAAAAAACTGCTTTATGTTACTTTAAGGTGAATGTGATGAAATAACATCGATATTAACAAATACAATGAATTTTCAGGATTTATGTGCAAGTATCAGTCAAGAAGCGGATTTCGATACACTCTTTTGTATGTATAATTCAACTAGTTTAATTTTCTATTGTTTTATGTACTATTTATTCGTTGTAGTAAAAACATTTTCGGCAGAAGAATGTCGTGCAACAATTTATGGAACATTTCATTTTACATATGAATTTCGAGAAGGTGGTATTGGTATTTGCGATAATCCGGCTTCTCGTTTAGTCTCATGTCCTGATCCTGGTACACCGTTTGAAGCCGTTAATGAACGATTTTGGATGACATATGGTTATTGCAAAAATTTAGTTAGTTCAATTGATGCTCAACCATTATATCAATGTCTTGGCTATTGGATAAATGAAAATCAAGATATTTATACAGCAATTGCTAATGAACGAGTGGGTTCTGAACGATGGTATGATAAATTTCGTTGTATGTTAACAAGACAAGATCAACCACAATGGTTTGCAAAGTCATTATTTGCGGAATGTTCACGTTTGTATAGTCCAACGGATGGTCCAGAAAAAGTGATTATTACGCCAGTCGTACCCGAAATTCCAACGCCAACATGTTTCTTTCCTGATAATTTTACAGGTGAATGGATAAATACAGCAAACGTTAATGCTAAAGTTATTATTAATTCGACACATATTCACGAAATATCTCAAGTGAATAATCGTGGCTGGTTGAGAGAAACGTATTATGTATGTCAACAAATTAGTCGTAATCAATTCTTAGTGAAAACTGTTACAAAAGGAGAATGTTTTCCATATTATATTTGTTTCGATTTCAAGGATCGTCATCACAATATTCTTCGATATCGAAAAAGTAAATCGTTTATGTCAAATGTCTACGATGATCTATCAAAACGTGATCCACTCTTCGAAGTATGTGCATGGACAAGTTTTGGAAATGATGCTAATTGGAAATATCAAGTGTTTGTACTCGATCCACCAGCACCTGTCGAGTGTCCATTTACAGGTAAGATGATTTATTTTTAGTTTTTGCCATAGCTTTTTTCTTGATAAAATATCTTGATTTTTCTACTCGTTAGGCATGTGGACGTTTAAACAAGTTGGTCAACCGAACAGTTTGGTTAATACAAGAATTCGAGGTGGCATAACTCCTCGTCCTCGTGATCATGGCTGGTACATTACATGTGATCCAAAATTCATGGTATCTCAGTGGACTGTTTGTGGTGATCAAACGAAGAGTATGTTTGTTGATCGTGAATATTGTCGACAATTAGATCCTTATGGAACACCAATTGGTGTATATGAAATGCCCGACTATATCTATCAATGTGCTGGTTATTGGCGTGAAGATAGTCGTTCAATTTTGATCACTTATGATCGTGATGATCCTTATATCAATTATAAATGTTGGGTTTATGAACGAATGGATTTGTTTAAAATTTATCTATCGCGCTCAGCTGGTTCGGCATGTGGTTTTAATCAAACATCTGATAGTTACAAAGGAGAAGATGGCGCTGATCTTTTCATTCAACTAGATGAAGCAGAAAGAATACGTAAGTTAAATATTAAGAAAATGTCTTTTAAGTAAATTCCTTGAACTAACAAAGTTACAGTTTTGTTAGTCCAAACTATAGAAACACAATCACCATCGAGGACTTAGGTGAACGATGCTTCCTGCTGCACTAAGTGCTAATAAAATTTTATTGTTTTTTTATTAGACGATGACTGTCCAATTCGTTATGATGATGGTCGAAATCCTTGGTTAGATATTGACGAATTTTTATTTTTTTATGCATCAGGAATAAATTTGAGAATATCATTTATTATCATAGTCATATGTTTATTATTATCAACAGTATTTTCTGTTTTATAGAAATCTCTTTTTCTCTCTCTTTCTCTCTCTTTCCATCTCTTTCCATCTACCTCTCTCAGATCGACTTGTTCAGTTTTTGATGAACAGTATTTGTATATAGTAAATAATGTGATGTTTTAACTAAACAGTTTTTTATTAATTCTTTTTTTTTATATGTAATATTTTTCATATCATTTTCGTACTTAGAAGATAGATATATTTGTAGGATTCGTTTTTTTATATTTCACATTTTATTCTTATTACCATTGACGAGTTTAAGACTAATTTTGAAAAGTTGAATTGATCTATAACTCCAGTTAACAGTTATAATCCAGGTTAAAAAAGCTGACTGTGTTATGCAACATATACAAAAGTAGAAACTATATTGTCTGATATGATTCTCATGTAAAGAGTGTGAAATAATATACATCAGACACGTGGAAAAGAAAAGGCTTTATTTTTTCTTATGCTTTTTCTTTTGATAGATATATATATATATTGCATAAATAAACTAGAGTTTCATTTTTAATTGAATAGTCTGTCTACAGGTTCTATTCAACAAAATGAACAGGAAAAAAAAACATTTGTAGCTCGCTCAACTGAATTATAACTATTAATCTGAAATTTATAACTTCTGAGCTATTCATAACTATTTTAAATTTTCACTCAGAAGTTAAAATAGCTATAAGTAGTTGGAATTATAAATATTTATAAATCATAGACTTTTAAACTCTTCAGTGTTTATTACGGACTTTTGTTACATTCCATTTTTTATGATTATTGATTATTAATAATCTGTCGATATTCTTTTTGAGCAATTTTCTTTATACGTTAATTCACATTGTTGTTGTATTTTTAGCAATTTTACAATGAAAAAAATGAACAATCACATGATAGATTTCTTTTTTTCATGTTTGTCGTTACTTAAATTATAGTGAATCTGAACGTATCTCTGTTTGAATCAATTGAACTCTCATAACCCTTTCAGGACCGGTTTAATTTTTATATATACAGTGCTGTTCAAAAGTTTAAGACCTTTTTTTATTTTGCAATATCTCGGCTTCCATGACAGATAGAGACTTCATCCTTTCGTCAAAAGAAAG